CACTTTAAGACATTTTCCTGAAAGACGACATCTAGTTCAATTCTAAATAAGTAATCACAAGCTAATGATTGAAGTAGGTAGATATCAGACAGATAATCTCCCTAAGGAAAGTAGATTGTGCAAGTTCTGTAAATTAAATCAAGTAGAAAATGAAACCCAACCCTTGTTTCACTACTGCAGTACCTACTCTTTACAGAGGAGACATTCTTTAATGAAATCAATGAAGTAATACTTCACATTCAATGAGAATCAACATCAGACCCAGCACTACCACCACCACCAGCAGCAGCACCACCACTACTCTCCTTACTAAATCACTACTGAATCACTACTAATCGGTGTCTCCTGAGAGACAAAGATTTTTTCCAATAAGAAAGCGCTTATTTCTACCGTGTGCCATAGTTTGCTAGTGGGCTGCAAATTAGAGACTAGAGACAAATTTCAAGACTTTAATTTTGGCAATTCTGGCCTCTTCCGTTCATTTCACCAGTTTAGTGAACGCATTGTGGAGGAGACAAAAAATCAATTTGTAAACTTGTGGCAGCGAATGCTTGGTGTTAAGAAACATTTACTCAACATTTTTATTTCTCGTAGGAGATGGCCAAGTTACTTCGACAAACTTCCACCTAAGATCAACAAAGGAGGTTCCCCAATTGAGCCAGCGTGTGCTTGTGATGTGACCACAGGCAAAGGGAAAACAACTAAATGCGTAAAGGATGGCATCCCAGCTTTCTTCCCAAGTACACAAAAAGATAAATTCAACCGAATAAAAATGTGCGACAGATCACCAGAAAAAAGAGACTTGAAATGGTCGGACGATTTAACTGACGAGGATTACGAATTGTTTATGAAGCCTTTAGACCCCGAAGCTCATAAGAGGCAAAAGCGATCCGTTAATGTGATTTCAAAAGAGAACGTAACCCGATACTGCGCTGAGCGATTGGCTGAAACACCTGTTGGAAAGATGTGTGCTAAACTGGGAACAAATGTCCAAGCGCTGGTGAACGTTTGTGCATCTGACCTTGAGGTAGGCATATATACATCGGCTTGCCAGCAGATGTAAGGATTAACCGAGGTTAGGAGTGACTTTTAACAATAACCGTGCAAGCTTTCCTCGAATTGCACAGAAAAGCAACCTGGGTACGAATCTTCTTGATGCCGGTTTACAGATTTACCGGCTTATTACTTTGCTTTGTTATTTCTAGAAAGAAATTACAGCGAGAATTGAATATTCTCTTTGTAAACAATTTTACAGGCTTGTGGATGGTGGTGTTTCTTTTGGAAAGGTTAGGGCCGTGTTTCTTCTGTGCTGCTCTGTAGGCTATCATCCGTGGTAACTTTATGTTAACGTCTTTTACTTCGCGGCGTTAGAATTTGATCGTTTTAATCGCTTATACCTTGAAACTTTTGACAAAAAAATGTAAGCGTTTCACTCTTTCAAGTCAAGTGAGGTAACATTTTCTTAATAGGCTTGCCACAGTGATGTTAAATTCTACAAAAAAAATTGTACGGGTCCATTAACCAACAAAGAAGTTCATTCTCAACCACTTTAATCTCTACGAATCAACTTAAAGCTCCCTAAGCCATCTTCTGAAAACCCTTATTCAGGGTCTTAGGCAATCCGTAACTTGACCTTGCCTGTATTGCGATCAGTCATACTAATAAAACTGTTTCAATTAAAAACAACAAAAACAGCAACAGCAACAAAAGAAAAAAACAAAACAAAACAAATTAAACCAAATCAAAGGGCTCTTGGAGCCAGATCATTCGTGTAATGGCTTAAGTTTGTATTGATTTCTTGGACTTATCGAATATAGGTACAGTTGAATTCTGCTTATGTGAACTTTCAAGGTTAACAAGAAATAGTTGGAAATAATTTGAGTTATTAAAAACAGCTGCCAATTTAGTTCTGGAGTGTCAAAATACTTTTGGAGTACAGGATAATATTCGTACTATATGTTGTACGGGTATTATACGTACTATCCGCGTCAAACCAGTTTAATAACCCTACAGTGCGGTGTTCTTCGGTTATTAAACTGGACAGCTGCCTTTTACGGTTATTATACGCGCAAGTTATGATTAATAACCGTAGAAAGTAAGGTTATTAATCGTATGTGGCGTCATGTCAGGTTATAATCGTACCTTCATCAAAGTTTGGCAAGAGGAAATTTCGATCTCCAGCCGCCATTACGAAAAAAAAAGTATTGGGTCAAATTTTCAAGGCCGCTGGGCATTTCTTTTTTAAAAGAAATTTCCTGAAGTTGTTTCCCCTACAACTTTCTATTACGCGAATCCATGACAGAAATGTGTAGCTCAAAAAAGCGCTATTTGGAAAAGTTTTTTTAGTCCCAGCGATCGATGCGAAACCATGCCGAAGCAATCGAGTTCGATGTCTGCGTAAAATGTTTTTTTTTTTTAATTTCAAGGTGACCCTTAATTACAAGCTGAAAAATTGCCATCGACTGCGAGGCAAAATTACATGAAGGGCCGGGGACTAACTGCTTTCATGTAGCTTGAAGCCGATATCTGTCGTAAATTGCTAACAACCACTGCATCGACATAAACGAACCCATTTCGCACAGTGAAATAGACACGACTGGATCCCACAGTCTGCCAAATATTGGCAAGGTACGTTTCCGCGCAGTATTTTTAAAGGGGCCACTAAAAATACCACTTCTCGTGGAAAAGCAGAATCGTATAGTGTTGCTAAGTTATCTTTCCTTTCCTATAGAGGGTGTTTTTGCCGCGAAATGGTAGTTTTTTTTATTCGCTGGAGAATGTGGAAAAGCGAACAGCAATCAACAATGTGCACGATTTTGGCGGAAAGTTACAGGAGAAAATTTCCACAGGTTAACGCGAATAAAGGTTTTAATCTGTTCATTTTAAAAGATGGACTGTGTTGAATGAGAAAAAAATGGCTTTCATTGACGACTTTATTATTATGTAAGCTCACAGCCTACAAGACAATCGCTCTAGTCAAGACGAAATGCAAAATCCGCCTAACACGTTACGGATGACTCGCTTCCAGCGAAAATTTTTCATTCAAAGGGAATCCAGCAGGTTAAACAAAATGGTTAATTGAAATCCAAACTTACATCTACATGAGCGATATAATTTATTGGTATGACTCTTTTTCACGTTTTTTTAATAGGCGGCAAAATTTTATGTCGTGGAGACAAACAAACGTTGCCGATCGGATGTGCAAATATTCCAGATACAAATGCGGCTTTATCAATACTCGCCGAGTCTTTGAGTCGTCTTTGGAAAAATATACCTCGAAGAGAAGACGCAGTAAGATAGACGTCCAGGAGAACAGTGTATTTTTTTTTTCTGTGTGTGCTACATGTATTAAGCTTCACTGGGAGAATGCACTATGCAAATTAGTCGAAAATTCCGGGAATCAAAGCCGTCACGCAACACTGTGCAAGAATTGGCTGATATCAGCTAGTCACTCCGAATCTGCTGCAAATAAGAGCGCTTCAGGAAAACGGAAGCTATCTTTTTAAATTGAAAAATTCCTTTCAAGATACGCTGCAAATTTTAAAAGGCTTTTTTGGGATTATTATAGTTGGGAGGGGTAGCAACCGAGACTACTTCCGTTCACGTTCTACAACTTCCGTCAACATCTGCTTCACCACGATACCTCATTCATTGCTTCAAGCATGAATGAGCTAAAAATGTGACAGTTATGACTTACGTTTTGAAGTGATTAAAAAATGGTTAAAAGCTGCAGTTGTGCTTTTTTCCTAGTGTTCTTCATTGAGTAAAACTTTTGTCTCTATGTTGTTTTGTTTCCGTTTGCAGTATACTGGAGACCGTTCCTTTGCCATAGGCGCTGTTGCAATGTTGATGGATGAATGCGATGATGTAATCATAGAAACCACAACTGTTAATTCCAACGACAGTAGGAATTTTACAGCCCCAAAGATGCCCAAGTTGCCTCCTATAGTTGAAGAGATAGCTCAACTTCTTTGTCCCAACGACTGCAATTTTAGAGGGAAATGTGTTAATGGCTCTTGCGTTTGTAACAAGGACTATACAGCTGAAGACTGTTCTGTATCCGTTTTTCAAAAACCATTCATTGCAAGGTAAGCATAAGAAAGTGGAGTGAGAATCTAATTATTAATAACACCTGTCCTTTGTGAATGTGTTGAATACCATATTCGGGGTAGACTACGAGTAGTCCCTCTTGCGCTTAGTCCGTCGTACGTGACGCCAAAGAAAACCGCGAGAAAAAAATGGCGCGCGAAATCCTGGAGACGAGGAGCGCGCGAAAGGAGGGACTA